TAGACCAGATCTGTAGTCAAATATACTAACAGAATGACGCCAATTACATCTGTAGCCAGATATGCTAATAGAGTGACACACGAACAATTCAATTTTATTGCTGAAATGTTGTCGTGTGTATTTTAGAATGTGATATTAATCAATTATTAATTAACATTCTAAAATATATACGACAAAGTTATAAAATAGTCAAAAATTCAGAGATTCCATTCGAAAGAATTTGGAAATTTCCAGAGGACTCTCCAACTTGATTTATGTATATCTTCTTATAGGATTCCTGAGACGCGATTTTGTAACTTTTAACGATATTTATCGTGTGTCACTAACTAGCGACGTTTGTCGCTTGTGCGACCGACAGAGATGGATCAAGGCTATTCTAGAAATCACACATATCGATACTGATCGTTGCAAGCGACATTCATCGATACAGCTTTAATGATATTTATCGATAATGTACAGACAGATCAAAATAAAAAAGAAAAATTTATTTCAGCCAGTAGTATTACAGCTCTCAAAGAAATGTAGGCAGTTTTAAGACGTTTAGTATACATTCATGTATGACTTATATTCTTTCCACGGTTCTTTCTGCGATTTGCTTCATTTTACACGATTATGTTGTATTTTTATTATGTTGTATTTTTTTCAGATATTAACATTAAAGGTTAAAACATTTGATTGCATTTACTGACTTACTTATTTTTTTATATATAATAAATTCGCACATGATTTGTAGTGTAACTTGCATAACTCTCTAACTTTAATATTGTATTATTCAACATTATTTAATTATTCATTATTTAATTTGTATTTTTATATAAATATATAAGAAATAATATATTAAATAATTTCACGTAAGCTATATTGCAAAATATCATCTCTGAGGAAAATTTTACTCGATATAAAATACATTATGTGTGGTATAATATAAAAAAATACATTATGTGTAGGGGTTTGCATTAAAAGCCGTTGTTTTTTCTTTGTATTTGAGCACTTATTTCAATAACAAAATATATGAATACCTCAATCAAAGTATTTTCCCTCGGAAGTTATGACTTTTTGCCACTTTTCAGGCAGAAGTTGAATTCCACGACGAAAGAATAGTCTGTCTTTTGAGTCAATCCATTCAGCAACCCAATTTTCGACTTCGCTATAATTATGGAAGTGTGTATCTTCCAGAGCATGTTGCATCGATCGGAACAGATGATAATCGCTTGGTGCTAAGTCCGGAGAATACGCTGGGTGCGGGAGAACCTCCCATTCGAGATCTATCAGTGTTTGTTTCACGGCTATAGCAACATGCGGCCGAGCGTTATCATGGAGTAAAATCACCTTTCGACGATTTGATGCAATTGATGGTCGTTTTTGCATCAAATTATCATTCAAACGTTCCAATTGTTGTTGATAACGCTCGGCGGTGAGTGTTTCGTTCGGTTTAAGCAGCTCATAATACACGTAAGCGGTTGGCAAAGGCATTTTTGGCAAGGTCTATTCATGTGTCTGCCATTTTCCTTCTTTCTGAATCTTTCTCATAGCTTGTAAACGTCATAAAATAGTTGATTTATCGACTTTTAATTGTTGAGACAATTCTTTGAGTGTTTGAGCTGGATTTTCTTCCAATAGAGCTTGCAGTTGTTCATCTTCGAATTTTTTCGGTTGACCTGTTCGTGAACGTCACAATCACCACTTTTGAATCGTCGAAACCAGTCTCTACATACTGTTTCCGATGGAGCAGATTCACTATAAATTTCCGCAAGCAATCGATGAGTTTCAGCTGCACTTTTTTTCAAATCAAAATAGTGTAAAAGTACACATCGGAAAAACAATTTATCACGTTCCATTTTAATTCAGTTATAGAAAAGCACATATGTAAACAAGGATGACGTCTGTTGACTGAATTTTAGTAGGAAATGTTCACATTTAAAAATGATATAAGTAGCAGATGTCTCTGATCATAGCATACGCAGCTACTGCCATCTAAACGTGAACAGCGGCTTTTAATGCAAACCACTATTTCGAGTAAAATTTTTTAAGACATTTTGGAATATAGTGTTAAACAATATTAATCCTTTCTCAAATATAAATTACAAATAAGGAAAATTATATATATAAAATATATGATGTACGATATTATCTACATTATATTATATAAACATATTATATAAAATACTTTAATAAAATTAATTAAATATTTAAAAAATATTTACTTTATATTGCCTTCAATCTACTTAATAAGTTATGATATAGCGATTTTTACTATAATATTTTAGTTGTCATTAGTAAGTCCAAGACTACGTTCGCTGACGTTCACGGCATTTAAGTATCAATTGTCCTTGTTTAATATTTAATAAATATCAAGAATGAAACGACGCTTGAAGCATTGTGAGTGCCAAAACAATCCAAATGTGTCGATACGACGTTTTCGTCATCTAAGGGGGAATCACGTTAGAGTTAACAATTATTATCGTGAATTAACGATGAATATCGTTTCATATTTATTAGCAGCGATATAGAATTGCACTTACCCGAACTTTATCGACGAGAAAGAAGCATTAATATTATTTAGGGCTACATTCAAAGATGTTCTTTAAAAAATTTTACTCGAAATATATTACTATATATTACGATACAACGCATTTTATATCAAGTAAAATTTTCAGAGATGATGTTTTGTAATGTAACTTACGTGAGGTTATTTGGTATATTATTTCTTATATTTATATAATATAAATACAATATTTTATAAATATTATATTCATAATTATAATATAATATATAATAAAAATACAAATTAAATAATGAATAATTAAATAATGTTGAATAATAACATCGACAACTATCGGTGAGCGTAAAGACATTTACAAAAGACATTTGTAAAGACATTTACAAAAATGTCGAAATTCTCTAAACATTTTATCGATAATTTTCGTTATCGTTAACTAGCGACAGTTGATGAAAGTCGCGCTTTCTTCCAGCAGGGACACTATTCTGTAACTGTAATTACATGCCTATCGACAGTAGTTGGTGTCATTGCGCAACTTTTTCACCATATAAAATGTCTGTGCATGATACCGACAACTGTTTTTACGTGACAGTTGTCGGTGTCGTTAAATGTCGGTCGACAAATTTCAGACAAGTGCAATTCTATAACACTACTATTGATATAAATATGTAACGATCATTCGTCGTTAATTCACGATAATAATCGTTAACTCTAACGTGACTTATGTAACGGAAACGTCGTACTGACACATTTGGACTTACTTTTTTTTTGACAATTAAAATAGTAAAAATCGCTGTATCATAACCTAACAAATTGAAGGCACATATAAAGTAAACATTTTTTAAATATTTAATTAACCTTATTCAAATAATTTATATAATATGTAATTTAATATAACTACGTTTATGTAATATAATGTAGATAATATCGTACATCATATACTATATATGTAATTTTCCTTATTTGTAATTTATATTTGAGAAAGAAGCATTAATAAACATTTTTTAAATATTTAATTAACCTTATTCAAATAATTTATATAATATGTAATTTAATATAATTACGTTTATATAATATAATGTAGATAATATCGTACATCATATACTATATATGTAATTTTCCTTATTTGTAATTTATATTTGAGAAAGAAGCATTAATATTATTTAGGGCTACATTTCAGGATGTTCTTTAAAAAATTTTACTCGAAATATATTATTATATATTATGACGCATTTTATATCAAGTAAAATTTTCAGAGATGATGTTTTGCAATGTAACTTATGTGAGGTTATTTGATATATTATTTCTTATATTTATATATTATAAATATTATATAAATATTATATTTATATAATATAAAAATACAAATTAAATAATGAATAATTAAATAATGTTGAATAATACTATATTAGAGAGATAAGAGTTAGAGAGCTATGCAAGTCACGCTAGAAATCATGAGCGAATTTATTATATATAAACAAATAAGTAAATCGATAAATACAATCGAATGTTTTAACCTTTAATGTTAATATCTAAAAAAATTACAACATAATAAGCCTGTGCAAAATGAAGCAAACTGTAGAAAGAATCGTGGAAAAAACACAAATTATTCATATATATGGATGGTATATTAAACGACTTAAAACTTCTTACATTTCTTTTAGAGCTGTAATGCTATATATTGAAATAAATTTTTCTTTATATTTTGATTTATCTGTACATTATCAATAAATATAATTAAAGCTGTATCGATAAATGTCGCTTGCAATGATCAGTATCGGTATGTGTCATTTCTAGCCTTGATCCATCCCTGTCGGTTGCGCAAGCGACAAACGTCGCTAGTTAGCGACACCGAGAAATATCGTTAAAAGTTATAGAATCGCGCCCCAGATTGTCCTACCATTGACTGTCGTTAGTTAACGATAGCGACAATCATCGTTAAGACGTTTAGAAAATCTCGCATATTAGACGTTTTCTTTTTATGAGAAGCGAGTTCATCTCTCTCGTAGCAGAATCATATATGACAATGACAGATCTTGCTCAATTTTTGTCGACAATTTGTCATAAAGTTAAGACAGCAAGTTTTACTCAGCTTTTGTCTGTTAACTTGCTGTTAAATTACTTGCAAGCCTTGCTTAGCATTGATCGATAATTTGATCATATTATCAGTAGATTTTGTTCTTTACTTATCATAAATTTGCAGCCTTTGAGTACAACAAAATTTGCATCCATTTGGCGCCTTTTGTCTTCAAAATTTGCAGCAAGATTTTTGGAAGATTTATTTTCAATAGGATTTGGCTATTTTGTCTACTTCAGACTGGACGCAGCAAGCGTCAAGCAACCAACCAACGAGGCGATATTTTTACGCCACTGTAAATATCGCTTTACTGACTGGTTGCTGCTCCGTTGCTTTACGCTTGGTGCGTCCAGTCTAAACTAGGCATATCTGAGAGCGTATTTGGTGGAAGTTTGCTAATAGTACTAGCAATAACAAAGTATATTTCCTATTTGCAGCAAATCGGTATACTTTATTGTCAACATTTGCGATTGTAGAGAAGGTTATAGGGGTTATTGAGTAACACCTAAGATGATCCTTATACCAATATTAATGCGAATGTTTAAGGCAAGGGGATGTTGGAGTAGTCCTGTTTTACTAATAAAATGTGATTAATATTTAATCCTCCAATCTCTTAATTGCATTTATAAATTTAAAATTAAAAATCTTTCTACACAATTAAATTAGACGAAAACACAGTGCGCAAACAACAATTTCATATATAAAAAACAAGAAATTTAAAAAATTATAGTTTTATCAGCTTCTGCAGTTGACTCCTGACGACATGTGTTGCATATAAGAATTTTAGATTTTGTATGCTTGTATGTTTTAAATAAGCTTAGATCAGCTAGAGATAAAAAAATAATACTATATTTGTATAAATGAGCTAGAGGTTTTATAAGAGCAAGGAGAATTTGAAAATTTGATTTATATACTATGAACAAAATCGATGCGAAAAATAAAACAGAGTACTAATTGTGTTTAGTAGATATTGGATGCAAAAGTTAACGTTGCAATATATTATTTTAATACTTTTTTTAATATTTTGTTAATGCTTTGTAAACGCTGTGAGTTTAGGAAGTCTGTATTATCGACATCGATCAAGTTCGGCCATTGCTTCAACATTTCCTTAATGTAAAGATATCTAAATAATGTATAAAAAAGATACTAATGCTGTATTTACAATTATAATATGCGTGTATATATACATGGTTAAGTATTTTAAAGGTTTCAAGAGGCGATTCCTCATACTAAATCAAGACGAAAATATGACGATATATCTGAAATGATGTCCGAAAATATAACGATATGTCCGAACATATATATGTTTATCCATAAAAGTAGATGGAGTGGCTTTCAAAATTTTTGGAAAAAATGAAATTTTTTCTTCAACTTTGGCATTTTGTATTCTTGAAATTAAGCCGTCTCAGATATAGTCATATAGAAGTAATTTAATATGACGATTGTGAGGAATTACCCCTTAAAACCTTTTAGAGTAACTTAATTATTACCCTGTATGTATGTACAGTACATACACACACACACACACACACACACACACATACATACATACATACATACATACATACATACATACATACATACATACATACATACATACGCACGCACGCGCACGCGCTCACACATTTACTCAAACTTCGTCCAATTATTTTGTGATTTAATGGTAGGTGCATCCAATGTTAAACTGAATGTGTCCATTGTATCATTAATACTGTTGTCACTTTGATTACAAGCAGCAGTGTTTATTGTGAATGAATTATCACTATTAGATAAGCTAAATTTATTAAAATCTATACCATACGCTTGTAATAAATCCGTATCACCCACATTATCGGAGGTCTTTGGCTTGTCAGTTTTGTGCGATGGTTGTTGAAAATAAGGATACAAGGGGTTACTAAGACCTTCGCCCATTTCAGGTAAATATAATGATTGACTCATCTGTTTTGTGCTCGAAAATTCGGAAGATTTAGATAGTAGCGGATCGAAATCGTCGTTGCTGTTTATTGAATCTAACCGTATTAAATCTGGGACGTCAGAAGAATCCTGTAAGAAGAAACACGCATTAATTATTCCAGTTTTGTTAATTAATTAACAATAATATGCAAGAGAATAACGCGAATTTTCATTTGTAATATTAAAATGTTATTTTTTAATTCTTGTCATTGGAGTTGGACGGCTGAAAATTATGTAAAATTCGAATGTTGTTTCTGGACAAATGAGTGAACATATTATATATACATTTTCTTTTTAGCATGTTTTGAATACTTTAACGAATAAAATCAGTCACGAAAGTCTACAAAATATAATATAATATAATGATATAATATAATAATAATTGAGGGCAATATTGATGAATTTATTATAAAAGCGACTACGCGATTTGCTCCGCGACGCGACGCGATTGCTCTGTTCTTGTCACGATAACTCAAGAAGCTGCAGAAATCGACTTCAAAATTTATTTTTAAAGTAAAGATAACAAAACTTTCCATAAACTAAACCTACTTTTTTACGTACAAAAATTTATTTTTTAAGCCCATTTCAATAATAAATAACATGAATTTTTCGATATTTCTTAATTTTCAACCACCATTTTTATAATTTTCAGATTTTAGGTTCAATTTATAGATTAGAATTTCATCAATAAAATGGCACCAAGAAAATTGAAAAATTCCAATTCACGCGAAATCATGACAAGAACGTAGCAGTGTGTAGTCGCCTTTAAATATCAATATTGCCCTCAAATATTCATATTTTGTGAACTTTCGTGGATGATTTTATTCGTTAAGAAAGCATTCAAAATGCTAAAAAGAAAGTTTATATATGTTTATTCAATTGCTCACAAACATTCAAATTTTACATAATTTTTAGCCGTCCAAACTTTTCCATCACCCTTAATAAATAATAGATAATATTTTTTTAATCTGTGCAATAAAAATGTATGGAAATTATTATAAAATAAATGACAAAAAGCTCAATTTTTTAATATAAGTAAATAATATATTCAAGATTATTTATGTATAAAGTTACATTGCATGAACTATGTTCTAAAAAATAACTAATCTCATTTTAAGGACGCATTGTCAGGGACTGGAAAATTACTTTTTAAAAGTAATAAATTACAGTTACTTATTATCGAATAGAAAAAGTAACAAATTACCATTACTAATTATCGATTTTTAAAAGTAATTCATTTATGTGCCGATATGGTTGTCGGACTTTCAATCAATCTGAAATATTAATAATGAACGATAAAATAAATTGATCAAATCCAATTACACAAGAGACTTACTGACAATCTTAAGATGACGAAATCGAATGTTGGAAAAATTATTTAAAATAACTTGAATACGTTAGTAATTTTAAAAAATGCAATTACTTTTTGGCCAATCCGATAAATAAAAATGTAATCTTCACAAAACGCTACGAATTAATTCCAACACCTAATATATATTCTGAAATATTGTAAGATTTGAATAAAAAAATTTGAGATATTTTCTAAACAGTTATAAAATAATACAGAAATTCTAAAAATTCAGAATTTTTTATATGTGAATTATAAAATATTGTAAGATTCATATAATTTTCTACAATTTTTTATAATTGTGTATATAGACATATTTTATATACAATCATATCGTGATGTCTACACATTATCTATACATTAAACATAAAACGTGCAAGGAATTCATTTCGGTAACAATATTGCAAATTTGAAATGTACATAAAAATGTTTATAAAATATTATATAAAAATGTTTATAAAATTTCATGAATGTTTCAAATTAACATTTCAATTGTAACATTCATACGCCGTTCCAAAAATGTTACATTTTGGCTGTTATTTCGACAATTTGATTTGAGATATTGGAAAAATAATGTTTAGCAACATTCAAGAAACGATTCATTTGGGATGTTTTATTTGTAATATTCAAAGACATTACAACAATGTCACATATGTGATGTTCATAAAATATGTATTTTAAGACAATCCATAAACGTTTCATTTAGAATGTTTGGCCTATGTTTGATAACATGATTACAGCAATACTATATTTGCAACAGTCCTCCGTGGCCCTCTATCGGCAGAGATGCATAATACTCGTGGGTGAATGATTTTCGTGATAACATTTTGTTAGCAATGAACTATAATTTTTGTTGCCGTCATATTTTCGACATAATGAATGATCGTCAAGATACAATTCGTCAAGATAGAATTCGTCAAGATTCGTCAAGATAGAATGATTAATGGATTAATCATTCCTTGTTATTATGTTGCTGACAGCATAACGTACCATTATTACTGACCGTTTGTTTTTGAAATTTCAACTGATTGCATGCATAAGTAATCATATTACTGCATTTATAATGTGTCCTATTTTGATATCAACAAATGTATGCCAAATATAAAACAATTCAAATATTCGTTTGCTCAATATAATATTGCTAAATCACGCTTGGTTATCCGGGATATTTATCGAAAGAATTATACTAAATATATTCTCACACATAAAAATAATAAATCATATAAACATGGCTCGAAAAGTGGTGCCATGATTTAAGATAAATAGAAATTGAGTGTGAGCTTCTCATGTCCAATTTCTTCCGTCTAGATAACTTTATACAAGAGATATCTCCCAGAATACAATGGAGAAATCTCCTGAATAAGATTATCCGCAACGTATCTGGAAGTGAAGAAATTGGACATTAGAGAAATTACAAGCATATTCAGACCGACTCAAGATCTCGCAGCAATCAGTCTATTAATAGCAAGTTCAAATATTATTCAGTTTCGATACTTGCGTCACATTTTTCAGATTCTTAGCTTCAATGGACAAGCAAATATTGCACCGGATGCGGGTAGTGAAAATTCGTTAATTATCTTCGGATTGATTCGTAGAATCTAGAACAAATTCAGAGAATCGAAAAATGAGGATAGCTGACAGAGAGCTGAGCTATCGACGATCTCGAAATTACTCCTACTAACCCAAGAAAATTAGATTTTTTTGGAGGCAAAATTGTCATAAAAGACATTTGTTTACGGGAAGTTGTTTGAAATGATATATTATACAACATATTAAAAATCCTGTCCGCCAGCTGACTTGGAAAACTTGCCAGTTTCAAAAAACTGAAAAAAGATAAAAAATGCGGTTTTTAAAAAATGTTTCAGAAAGTATTCATTTTATCGAAATAAAAATCATTATCAACAAGAAAGCTGATAAAATTACGAACAATTTCGTTTATTTTGAAGGTCATACGATCAATACTTTCTGTGATAGAATTTTTTTAAAAGAATGTTGTATTTTTGGTCATTTCGAGAATGAAATGATTTTTCACACTTTTTTCGTAAATCGTTTTTTATTCATCCTTGTACGGCCAATAGTTTCCAAGATACACATCCAAGAAGAATTTACTTGCGTAATTAGTCTTAAAAGATTATTTTGTTTTTGTTTATTAACGATCCTTTTTGCTTCAATGTTGAATAATTCGGTAAAAAAATTGTATAGAGATCTATAAAAAAATAAATTAAAGGTAAAGACTCTTTCGAAAGCTGTAAATTCTATTTGTGCGCAATTTTTAATTGGCGCCGTGGAACTTCACAAATTTCGTAAAAAATTTTGAGATTCTGTACATCTTTGTTTATGTTTATGTATTAGGTGTTGGAATTAATTCGTAGCGTTTTACAAGTGATGGGAAGTACTTTCATTAATGTATTTTTTAATGCTCATGTGAAATAAATAACATTCTTTCATTAAAAAACGCTACGAATTAATTCCAACACCTAATAATTCCATAAAATATCAGTAAGACTGTTTTCTAAGTATTGATCTAAAGTAAAGATTTCAAGCTTTAAAAGGCTTTTTTAATCATCTCGATATGATGATTTTTGACGAAGTTATTTTATCTTGAAATTTACCTGCTACTGCTTTTCAACAAAATAAAAATCAGCGTTAAAATTCAAATTTCACATATCTGCAAAAAATGGTCGCGAAACGATATTCGCACGCGATATTCGACAACTTTTTCTTGTAAATTCAGTATAACTCAGAAATAAATTATTGTATAGGAAACTTTACCAAAAAAAAAAAAGGAAATTAAGATATGAATTTCAAATTTTAATTCTTCTTAATTTCATATAAGTGCATGTATGTACAATGTATATTTGAACACTGAGATAAAAGACGTTAAAAGATGCAAAGATATAAAAGTAACAAAAGGTAGACAGGAAAAACTGAAGCGATTCCTTAAAGGAAAGTGGCGCTAAAGTAGAAAAAGATTACCTCAGCAAACAGTGCCATCGATGCAGAGACGTTACAATTAAGATAGCTTACACCGAAAGTATTGGGTCATCTAAAAAGTATCCGCGGTTTTTTGTCACTAGATGTGTGTTGATGGTCATATATCTAGTGACAAAGTACCGCGGATACTTTTTAGATGACCCAATACTTTTCCCAATATATATTTTCAACAGAGGATTTTCCGTCTCAGTTTAGTCCGCTCTACATGTCAACGAATTAAGAACAATTATTAGATTCCCTGTATATTGTTGCAAAGTTACAATTTTTTCTCTACATTTTTTCTTTTCTTCTTTAGAAAATTCGCCAATAGATTCGGATTCAGTCATGAAAAAAATCTACAGAAATATATATATATTTTCCGAAATGGTCAAATATTACAATTTATAATTGCAGGAATAAGGTGTATCACCAACGAGATTTTAACCTCTTACATGTTTAATCGGGTTTAATAACATCCGTAGTTATGAAATTGGTCAATCATAGCTGTTCCTCGGAAGAATGGAACGATTGTGATTGGCCAGTTTCATAACTATTCTAACAGCACAAAGACGACTCTAAGTTAACTCTGAGTCGACTATAGCTTCTAGAAAAACATCTGAAAAATGGACGTTCATAAGTCGACTTTAGACTACTTCTCTAAATCATACAATGTCCCACTTTAAAGACGATTGTAAGCCGACTTTAAGTCAACCATGAACAGCATTCAACTACAGTTAAACAACAAGGACGAAATGATTCCACGTTTAAG